ATGCTGAATTCATTTTGTTTATGGATTTTCTTATCATTTCTTTTAATGCTGTCATTTTAGTGTTTACTAAATTGTTATGATTTATTTTTATTTTGATAACAAAGTTTATTAATTTTGAGATTATCCTGTGATTTATTATTTCTTCCCAAGTTTAAAACAGTACATTCTCTCTTGAAATCTTCTTGACTTCCTCTTCATTTGGAAGTTCTGTAACTACACTATTTATTCTCATTCTTTTCTTTGTAATTGTCTGCATATACAAATTGATGTCTCTGGTTTCCTATTTTCAGTCTTGTAGATTTATTTTATCTCAGATACTACTATATCTGGTTAATTTCTGGATGAAGTTGTAATGTACGTTAATCTACAGTTGTTGTCTGCCATTGAAATTCCCTTTAGTATTTCTGGTAAGCTTGGTGAGGTGGTTATGTTTGTATGTCAACTTAGCTGGGCCCGGTCGAGTGGCTGGGCAGCTGGTGGTAGTTTTTCCCCATGATGAGACTGGCAATCAACTCCATGGTGGGATCTACCACAGGCAGCTGAGTAGCTGCTTTGGGTCTGTGGTCTGCTTCCCATGTATAAGAAGCAGCTTTGGGAATGGTCTCCAGCCTATGGCATGCTTGGATCCTGCATGTAGCCATGTCATTGCTCAGCAGCCTGCCATGCTCTGCCAACCTTGGGATTTACAATGGACTTAAGTTAATGGCCTGCCATGTGGTTTGGTAACATCAGGACTGTGCCTTTTGACTTGTCAACCTTGAGCTTCTCAGCCTCAGCAGACAGCAACTGTCTGAGTGAAGAAAAGCCTCTGGCTTCAGTGGGCTGAGAGCTGGAGGTAGAGCTGTAGCCCAAGACTGAGAGACTTTCACCCAGCCTCTAGACCCTGGCACTTGGAACTTGGACTTAAAGCCACCAAATTGTAAAAGAATAAACTCCTGATTGATCAGCCATGCCATTTGTGGTATATTTCCTGTCAGAGTGGCACTAGGTAACCAGAACACTTGGTCTGATTTTTACAGATTCCCTGTTTATCTGTAAGTGTCCTAATTTCACCATTGTATTTAAGAACAATTTGCTCCATATGGAATTCTGGATTAACAATTTTTTTTTTCTTTCAGGGTTTTATATATGTCATCTCATTTCCCTCTTGCCTGCATGGTGTCTGCCAAGAAATCAAAGCTTAGTATTATTGATTTTCCTTTGTAGGTAACTTTTCATTTTTCCAAAGCTACTTTCAGGATTCTTTCTTTGTCTTTGGTTTGGAAAGTTTGATTATGATATGTCTTGAATGCATACCTTCTCATTTTTCATGATATTAGGGAAGTTTTCTTCCAACAAATCTTTGACAATTTTCTCACTGTTTTTTTTTTTTTTTTTTTTGGTCTCATTCTGTTCTGGAATACTGATCTCACATAGATTATTCCTCTTGATGGTGTTTCATATAAATCTTAGGCTTCTTCATATTTTTTGTTTGTTGTTGTTCTTTTTTATGATTGTTCCTCTAAAAGATTAGTATTGAGAGATTTGTTTTCAATCTGATAATCTTGTCTTCCAATGGTGCAGTTCTACTCCTTTGCCCTTTCAGTGCATCATTTATTACTGAAATCTTATTATTAATTTTCTAGATTTCTATTTGCTGTTTTTTTTTCTGATTTCTAGTTTTCCATTTATTTTGTCAGTTTGTTCTTATATTGTTACCTGTGTTTTCTTTGATTTCTCTGTGCTTTCTTTTATCTTTCTTTCAATCCATTGAACATACCTAAAGTATAATTCTTTTGAATTCCATATCAGGTAATTCCAGTGTCATTTCTTCCTCAGAAAGCTTTCTGGCTCTGTTGTTTTGTCACTTGCTTGAGCTACTCTTTCCTGTACCTTCATGTGAACTGAGGTTGTTTGCATCTCTGAGATATTATAGTGTTGTTGTATTTGAGTTTTTTATATTATTATTATTATTTTTATGTTGCTGTATTTCACCAATGATTGTTTTGTTTTGATATATTCTAGCAAATTGGGACAGTATGCTACGCTGCTTGCTAATTTGGCAGCACTTAGACACTCACCACCTATCTGCTGGTGGATGTGATAGAGAATGAGTGTGTGTGCATAGTTCTGTTTGTTTTTCATGTAGATCAGTTGAGGTCTGGCTAAGCTGATGTTGGCTGTCATCTGTCATCAATCAGTAGGTGCAGGAGTGGGTGGCAGCACTCATTCAGTGAGACTGGCTACAGGAGTTGTGGGTGTGGTTGCAGGAGAGGCAGGTGTGGCTAAGCAGTGTGGAGAGGTCACTGACTCCCACAAGGTGAGACAAAAAAAATCAAGAAAAAACAAACAATGACAAAAAGAACATTAAAAAGAAAGAAAGAAAAAGAAGAAACAATGAACAACAAAAAAGGGTAGAAAAAAATGAAAAGTTAGAAAAAGAAGAAAAAAATGGAAAATAAGAAGATAAAAGATACAAAAAAGGAAAGGGAAAGAAAAGAAAAAAAATTAAAAGAAGAAGAAGAAGAAAACTGGGGAAAGTGACCCCCAGTCAGTACTTCTATCATTTGAGAAGGTGGCAGGAGTCAGAAGGTGTTGTGTGATGGCATTTATGGCAGCCTTGGAGATGGCTGAGGGCAGTGCATTTGGTCCAGGATGGCACTTCGCTACTTTAGGAGATGGCTGGGCTTGAGGCTCCCAATCTAGGACTGTGCTTCTGCCAGCCTAGAAGGTGGCTGTGGGCAGGGCAATTGGTCCTGGATATGGCTTTTGCTAGCCTAGAACACAGCTGGGGACAGGGTGCTTACTTTGAGACAGCACTTCTACTGGTCTAATAGATGGCTGTGCATGGGACAACCAGTCTGGGACTGCACTACTACTGGCCTAGGAGGTGGCTATGGGTGAGGCACCCAGTTTGGGAAAGAGTCCCTACTAGGAAGAGAAGTGGTTGGCTACTGGGCACCCAATATGGGATGATGCATCCTGCTGGCCCAAGGAGGTGGAGAGCTTGTGTCTCTAAATGTGGTGCTGGTGTGCAGAGGAGGTATTTCCAACCTCTGGTGGAGCAGGGAGTTGTCACTGACCACTAGGTGGGTGAGAGTTGAGGTGGCCACACTTCTGATCACCTGGAGGGTGTAGAGAATAAGAAGATTACAACTTTCCAGTCACTAGCCACTGGTGTGGATGCTGGTGAGAAGAGCCAATTATCAGATTCCTTCCCCGATTGGAATACTGCTTGCAAAAATGCAAAATGGCTGTGCTTTGCCAAGCCAGTTAACAATTCACCTTATGCCTCTTCATTCACTGTTTTCATTCAATTTCTTCTTCTAGTTTGATCAATTTTTTTATCCTTTCATTTGAAGCTCAAGATTCTAGGATTATTATCTGTATTTGTTTCATTTGGTTTCTCCTTCTGCATAGCTTGTCTGCCTAGTCTACCATCTTGCCAGAAGTCAGCCATTAACTTTTCATTTAGTGCTTCTGATTCTTTCTTTCTATCCCCTTTTGGGCTTCAGTTCCACATATGCTAAACTTTTTCTCCATATTCCATATGTTTCTGACGCTTTCTTTTTAATATTTTTTATACTTTTATCTCATGATGTATTAGCAAGAATATTTCTTAAAATTCACTCATCTTCTGTTTAGTTAATTTTAAATTTCAATTAAGTTTTTAATATAACTTAATTTTTCAGACTAAAATTTTTTATTTGATTATTTTCCATAGATTCTAGGCCTCTGGAGAAATTCTCCATATTGCAATTTTAGGCACATATTATTGCCATTATTTTAAGGTTCTTGTATAAAACTCTGTTGTTGTTGTTGTTATGTGCCATCGAGTTGGCCCCGACTCATAGCGACCCTTCCTTGGGTTGCCGAGGCAGTATCACTATGGAAGTAGATTGCCCAACCTTCCTTCCGAGGAGTGACTGGTGGGTTTGAACCGCTAGCCTTCTAGTTATCAGTCAAGTGCCTTAGGCACTATGCTACCAGAGCTCCTGTATAAAACTCTAATAACTGGATATATGTGACTATGTTTTTATTGTTGATTTTTGTATTGATTCTTTTTTATTGGTAACAAGTAGTAATTTCTGTTTGACTGTTGAACATTCTGTATGAAATTCTAGACTAGAGGCTTCAAATGATGTTACCTTTCTTCAACACTTTGTTTGTCTTCAGATGTACAGTTAAAATAGGTGTAGATCACTTTAATACAATCATTGTTTGAACTATTTGAAGACTAGATTTCATTTTGGTAAGACCTGATCTATTCTAAGCCTACCTTTAATGCCTATCTTCACAAATTTTATCTTAAAGCCCTCCTCCTGTGGTGTTCTACAAACAGATGACTGGATGCTTTATATAACTTATAAGCCTCTCAGCCTTATACTGCATATAAATTTGTAGCAGTGGAGGGCAACATTAAGGCAGAAGCCTGGACTTTGTATTGTTCATTTCTGAGGTCTTGGCTCTTTATGCAGTGGATGCCTTGGTAGTTCTGAACTTCAATTTTTATGTCCCCAGCTATTTGAGACTGCCCAAAACTATGTTAAACTTTGTCTCTTAACCATCCCTTTCTTTCCAGTTTCTCAGCTTGTGTATTTTCAAATTTGAAAATATTTCAAGGGCAGAAAGGCATAAAATATTTGGAACACTTTAGAAACTTTCCTTTCTCTCCAGGATCTTGGCTCTTCAAGGTCTCTCTTTTTTTTTTTTTAATTTTGTCTTGGTATTTGTCTACTTTCTTAAAGCAGATTACATAAATACAACTTTTCTAGTTATTCTTGGCAGGAATGTTGTTGTGCTTTGAGCTAGCTCATGATATCTGGAAATGGAAGTAATCCATAAATATATATGTGAATATGTATATTATCATAGATGAAGTCTTTAGTTATTTGTTTGTAATTGAGATGACTGAAAAACTGTGCAACCATTATTTCACCCTGTAAATGTGTAAGAGTAGAAAAATTCTTATCTAGAATCACACTATCATTAAGCTGTGACTTGTTTGCTCTTTCCTTTAGGATTTTGTGTCATGTATAGAGAACAACAGAAGAAAAGGACAAGAGCTGTATGCATCTTTATACAAAGATCATGTGCAAGTAAGAAACAAAACATTTTCTTTCTTTTCATTGTATCCTGCAATCCACCTTGAACCTGATCTAAATAACCAGAAGGACCTCTGTGTGAGTTCTAGATCACCTAAGCCAACAATCTACCTTGAACTTGAACTAAAGAACCAGAAGGACCTTTTTCTGAGTTCTAGATTGCCAAATTCAACAATTCACTTTGAATATGTACTAAAGAACCAGGACCTTTGTTCTCAATTCTAGATTACCTAAGCCATCAATATAGTCATCAGTGATGCAGTCCTGTTTGCATGACCTGTGAGGTAGGAATTTGTACTTACATGATCAGGAGCTGAGGAGATAAGCCAGCTTGCCCACTCAGTCATCTCTTCATTCATCTGCTCAATAAGTGGATATTGATTCTGAGGATGCCTCAGGCCCTATGCTGGCACACAATTGTAAACACAACTGAGATGAACCTTGCACTTGAAAGGTTTCTCTGAGGAAGAAATGTAGACATTAAAGGACTTTACAAATTAGTAGACAATTATAACTTGTGGTTTGCACTAACTAAAAATACCAAACCCACTGCTATCAAGTTGATTCTGACTCATAGTGACCCTACAGGATAGAGTAGAACTTCCCTAAAAGGTTTCCAAGGCTGTAAATCTTTACAAAGGCAGACTCATCTTTCTTCTGTGGATTGGCTGGTGGGTGCAAACCACTGACATTTTGTTAGTAACCAAATGCCTTAATCACTGCACCACAAGAGCTCCTTTTGATGAGCTAATATTAGACAAGGAAAGTACAAGAAACAATGAGAGATTACAATGGAAGTAGTAATTTAATTTTGGGAATCAGGGGAAGATTCTCTCTGGGGAAGTGACTGTAAATTGATCAGAAGGAAGAATATAGGCTACAGCAATTAAGAGAGAAGTGATTTTGGCTCCGAGATGAACATGTTTGAAGGTCCTGTGGCAGGAAAGAGCCAGATGTCATCAATTAGCTGGAAGAAGAACAGTGGTAATAGAATCTAATGGTCTGGGAATAATGATGGTACAGATGAGACAGGGGTCCAAGAAGACAGTGCTTGAGATGCCATTAGGTTTTGTGCATTTATCCCAAGGGCAGTCATTGCCACTTATATGGATAGATTTAGAGATTTAGAACACTTCTTGATGTGATTTTTGTACACTCTAGGAAAAGAGCATCATCTTTTATGCTAGTTTGTGTTCTTTGAATCCCAGGTCTTCCCCTTCCTATACCTGTGGTCTGAGGTTTGGTGTCTCCATCTTTAAAATGGGATAATACTCTCCTAACTGCAAAGATTAAAGAACACTTATAAACCACCTACACAGTGACTGACAGGAATAGATGCCCCAAATGTGGTTATGGCATGGATAAAAGGTTAATTTTATAGCTGATGTTATTATTGTTAACAACAACAACAAAAGATTCCTAATAATAGAATACAGCATACAGTATAAAAAGCATTATTAATTATGTTATCAAGCAACTTCTGAGTTCCAAAACCTATGTTTGATGTGGAAAATGCAGAAATTATGATACTACCCTGCTTTGAAGATGCTTAAAACTTAATGGAGAGGACCAAGAATATAGAAATACCCACAAAGCAAGGTGATAAGGACAATACTAGTATGTTCTACTCTGAGAATAGGAGCAATGGGGTGTAAGAAATGACTTTGTGTCAAGGGTGGGATGAAGGTCAAGAAAAGACAGAATATAGAGTTACCAGGAAACCAAATAGGCATTGATCAATATCAGCCAAGTAATGTTGATGAATTCCCTTCATATAAGCTAAGTTGGGAGCCTACAACATGCCTCTGGAAATAAGGATTCATGAGATATGAAGCCTGCCCCCAGTAAATAGTCTAGCAACCCTCAAACCTCCCAATACTTGCCTCTTCTGATTAACTCTGTCCCTCTCATTACTTGAAGTATGGCCTAGGAGCTGTGCTGCTAGACTATTTACTGGGGGCACTGACCACTCTCAGAGGGATCAGCAGTCATGTCTGTTTCTCCAGATCCTCTTCTCAGCAAAGTCCTTCACGGTAGGCTCCTATCTCACCCCAATCTTGCTGACTGCCTTGCACAGCTGCATAGATGCTTCACTGGCTTATTTGGGTGTTGTCCATACCGTTGGAGGAACACTTACACAACAGTAATTCATTACATGTGTGTACTGATTTCATTCAGGACTAGGAATGTAGCTAATAAATTCAGTTATCATCAGGGGAAAATGTAAGATGAGTTGTATATAACTGCATCTTTTATTTTTGGACATCCTTATCATACTTTTATCATTTTGAGGCAGATGATGATGTTTATCTAAACTTCCAAATCACTATCTATTCATGAGGTTGGATATTTCTGTCTGTGTCTAGAAAAGCCTGGTACATATTATTATGGCAAAGAGAAACATGCTCTGTTATACTTCCATAGTTTTCTGCTGACATTTGTAATATGGCAAGTTCTTGTGGTAGGAGGACTTGAGGGAAGGACCAAACCGCACAGAGGCTCCAAGCCCATAAGAAAGAGATCTTGATGTCTGGGAGTCTCTCCTGTGACCCCTTAATCTCATCACTTTCCCTCTCTTTGGGAAGACCACATTGGGTGCACCTTGTAAGAAGCACTCCTTGATGAACATGCAGCCTAGCTAGGGTTTAGCGAGTACTTGAGGAAGTTGTGCAGTTTTACTGTTGATTTGAAGTATTTTCAAGAAATCAGCATTTTGAGGTTAATCCAGAAGATAGTTTCCTAATGTTTAAATATTTAATAAAGGTTGCCTTGATGTTTAAGGGAATGCAGATGCAATCACTGTCTGCCAGTAGATAACAGTGCCTGGATTGCACTTTTCCCCTGCAAACCCCACCCTATCTCCTGAAAAGTCAAGTCCAAACTCTGGACTGCACTCAGGCTTGTGGAATCTGCCACATTCCTCAAGCAGTGTGTCTTACCAGATGCACTCAATATAGCCCTCCTTAAGAGGGGACAATGAGGAGATTCAGGAGGCCAGCAGCTGTCAATACAATCCGTGCAAGAGTTCTGTAACCTGAGACCTTACCCCAACCAAGAGATCATTGGAGATGATCCCAGAGCCTGAAAGATAACATTCCCAGGGTCCTGGATATTAACCCAACCATCCTTCTTATACCACAAACTATCAACAGCAAATGGAGCCATTCTGATATTTAGTTCTTCAAATTGCTCCTCACTGCAGAAGCAGCAGTGAAAACAATTTCCTCTACTTTGGACCCACCCAGATTCTCCCCATGCCTTGTCCAAGTTACATTCATTCTCTTTTATTTGGCTCAGGTTTTCTTGTCCTGCTCTGTCATCTACCTAGGCCATCCTATTCTCATATACCTCATCATTATTTATAGATAAGCTTCATCCTGCCTATTCTGTTTTCTTCTTGTTATTTATTTTAAATACAATCTTTACTGCTTGAAGCTCTTTGCAAGAGTACTTCTACCCCAGACATTGCCTTTATTTATGTATGTTTGGGAATACTGTCCTACCTCATTCTCTTCTGGGCCCTCTTGGGGCCAGCTGGCTGTTTTTTTGCTCAGTCTCTGTACCTTCAATTAGATATCCATCACAGCTCTTTCAGATGCAAGTATTAGAAATTCAACTGAAACTGGCTTAGACAGCACATGAAATGTTAAGATTTGTGTTACTGGAAAATCCAAAGGAATCAGCCTTCAGGCAAAGCTAGATTCAGCTATTCAAAGTCTGCTCTAAAATCTCTCTCTCTCTTTCTGTCTGTCTGTCCCTGTCTCTGTATCTGTCTTTCTCTCACATACACGTACATTCACATAAACATACATATGTTTACATAAGAGATTACTAATGAGTGTGAGGCATAAGGGCATATGGAGGAGAAAAAAGTGAGCCTGAAATTAACCCATGCTCTGTTCATCAACTGTACATACTCATACTGGCATGAGATAGGTTTGTGCAAAGTATGGGTCATCGTTTTCTAAATTGCACAAAGACACTGTCTTATTGCCAAGCTGATCTCTGTAGGGCAGTATCTGTCCCAGGGCAGGGGGTAGGGACCTATCTTGATTCATACACAGGAACAATGTGAGCTGGGCCTGGAGGCCCTGAATGTACACATCCATGTCCTCTGCTTTGTTTCCCTGAGTTCATAAAATAATAATAACCCCCCAGGAAAGAAATCCAGCACATAGGCCCAAGTGAAGGCTATGGAATTAGACAGACTCAGTTTAGATCTCATTTTGGCCACCTGTTCCTCCTTGGGCAAGTCACCTCTCTCCAAGACTTAGTTTCTTCATAGGGATAATAGAAATACTTAGCCCACGGTGCCACTGGGTAGATTAAATGAGATGAAGCAGGTGAGGTGCTTAGCCTAATGTGTGCACTAAAGAGTTCCTTTTCTATTTGTATTAAATTTATGAGACTCATGCTTCTTGTCATTAGAACTGTCACAAATCTGAGACATAGCTTCCTTTCTCCTGGTCAGACCCTGGTTCCAGAGACTCTCTGCATGTCCTGGGGGTGGTTGGGCCTCACTTGAGGGGGAGGGTGATGTGTGATATTTTTCTCAAATAATTATGGAGACTCTTCAGCAGAAGATGTTTGCAGCTAGCCTGTGAGGACAATGTGTCCATGGTGACAGCTGCATTTCTGCTTCTCAGAGGCAGAGATGTGGCCATATCAAGGCAGCCAGTGCCTGGGCCAGGATCAAGGAGCAGCTCTTTGGGGAGCTAGGCTTATGGGGCCAGATGGTGGGAGCTGCACCTTGCTCTCAGTGGGAGCTGGACTGGAGAGAAGGACCTGCTCGCATGAAGAGAAGAATCAGACGCTTGTCTCCACTGGAGGCCCTGAGTCAAGCAGCCCACAAGGTAAGAGTTTGACATTGTAGGAAAAGCAAAGGCTCTACTGTTTTGTTTGAGGCAGAAAATGTGTAGAAGTTGTCCTACCTCATCTTTTTCCAGTAGTCTTTATTTTTTTTAGAATAGTTTTATGTTTACAGAAAATATACAGAGTTCTCATATACCCCATCCCCCTGCACAGTATTTTTCCTATTAACACTTTGAATTCCTCTGATACATTTATTACAACTGATGAAATTATTATTAGTATTATTCACTAAGGCTCATAGTTCACATTAGGGCTCATTTTTTGCATTGTATAGTCTTATGGGTTTTGACAAATAATAGTGTCGTATACCTACCATTACATATCATATAGAATTGTTTCTCTCCCCTAAAAATGCCCTATGCTCCACTTTCCTACCTTGCTCCTCCCTCCACACCCTGACAACTACTGGTCCTTTCACTGTCCAAATTTTTACTCTGTAAAAATAATATTTTGTTGTATTTTCAGTGAAAGACTACATGGCAAAAAAAGGTCATTTTGTTTTGATGATGATTGTGTGTGTGTGTGTGTGTGTGATTTGGGAGTGCTATAGTGTGAGGTATATAGTGAGAGGTAATATATGCATATAAATATATGCAAGTACCATAATTTATTTTTGATGTTCTTTAACAAAGTGAAGGAGTCACTAACCTTCCCAGGCACATAGAAGGGACTCTATGATTACATGCTGAATGAATGAATAATAATAAATAAAGAGGGAATGGGTGAAGGGTACATATCTATGTTACTGACCCAGTACCACTCTGACATCCACTAAGAACATGGTGTCATCTGATGCCAGTATTTGAAAGGGCAGCATGACTGCTCTCATCTGCTTGCCCTGGCTATCATCAAGCAGTCATGACCAGTGTTGCTGTGGGCATTATTGCCCAAGCAAATCCTGTAACAAGTTTTACAGTGAAAATCTCTTGAACTCAGCTATTTCTGCAAGCTCAAGCTAGTGATTCACTTAGTCCGAACTTTATTGAATCTGTGTTTGATTCCCCAAACACTAGTATCTGGGTAGTCCCTAGGAGTTTGCTGTAATGAAGCTTGCACTCTGTACCATGAAACTCACATTTCTGTCTCTTAAAATGGTTGATAAACCAATTGGATTCATTTTCTAGTGAATATAGAAAAATCTGTTAACAGTTTTTCATGCTCTCATTGAACAGTCATAATTTAGGATATTCTATAAGGCAAAGCTCCAAACATAGAGACGCTATAGAGAAGGATTTCCTTCTGCACTGGCGCTGAGTTAGAATACTGGTGTTACTCTCTAATCTGTAACCCCAGAATGTTTTATCCACACTAAACATCTTTATTGGATGTAATAAAAACAATTATATTTCATTTCTTCAGTAGAAACTTGCATTTTATAAGTATTGTCAATAAAAATCTGGTGGTATGTAGTAATTTTTTATCAGTTACTGGAAAAGTTTTTAAAAGATATTATTTGATTTTTTTTAACCAGAAAACTACATTTCAACATTTTTTACATGTATGATTTAGTAGCATTAATTCATCCCCACTTTCCATTTCCAATTTTTTCCATTACCTTTAACAGAAACTCATTACCTCCCAAACAATAATTTCCTCTTTCCTGCTCTCTCTTGCCCCTGAGTATAAAGACTTTGGTCTTTATACATTCACTTATTCTAGATATTTCATATAAGTGGGATCATAAAATATTTGTACTTTTCTGATTGAATTACTTCACTTAGCATAATGTTTTCAAGGTTCACCCATGTTAGTGTGTGGTATTTATTTATTTATTTGTTTTGGCAATAAATCTCTTAGAAAATGCAGGCTGGAAGCATAAGAAGCTTGCCCACTGTGCAGATGGCAAACCAAAGTCTCCCTTTAAAACCTGCTTTTTGTTCATTCACCATTCAACCTCAGATCCTCTCCCTGATCCCTTCTCCAATGTGGCTCACACAGCAGACATTCAGGATGCTATTTCATCCCATCTTGGCATCATGTTTGGAAATTACTGTAAGCCCTATTTAATGGACAGCTGCACCCCCCCTTTTGACTCTGGAACATTAATTCTTGCATTTTACTGTGGTCCCTTAGAATTTAGCATTTCTCTCCGCTTTCATCTGAGTCTTGAGCATGTCAGTAATTTGAAAGGGTCACATGCATGTGTATGTGTTTGTGAATTAGTGAAATGGGAGATGTGGTACATATACAGAATTTGGGATTTAATTTCTCTTTTATTTGGTCTTATTTCAGGAGAACCAAGGAAGAAATGATATTTCTCAAACAAATGCTGGAAACCAAGGTATTTAGTTGATTTAATTCTTTTTGTGTAATAATTAAACCAACTATTGGTTTATGTAATAACCTATTAAAGAAATCATATTTAATATTTTGACAGAAGAAAAGACTTCAGGTCTAAAGAAAGCAGTGCTAAAACTCTATGAATGAAGAGGAACCTGTTCCAGACCTAGACACACCATTAAGGGAACCTAAATAGCAATAATAAGAGTTTCTTTTGGGAACTCTCTTATCCATTTGCTATACCAGGAAGAACTTAGCATGTCCCTTGAAAACGAAAATACATGTTCAATAACTAACCCAAAGCACATTGGAAGAAAATAAGAAAATGGGTGGTATAGATACTTAATGTAACAAATGTCCGGGTGCTAAGGATTAATAGCTAAGAGCATTTTGGATAATTTAATATATTAATGGAAGGTTGGGCCATCTACTTCCATAGTGATACTGCCTCGGAAACCCAAGGAGGGGTCGTTATGAGTCAGGGCCGACTTGATGGCACATAACAACAACAACAATGTGTTCACTATGTTCTTATAGGTAAACCAATGTTAGATTACACAATAAGCAAGTTAAGAACAGGTTTACTTGTGCTTACTTACTAGTTTCTAGTGAACAATTTCACATTTTTTCACATTATAAAAGATTTTGCTTCTAGGTTTGTCTGACATCTGTCCCTTTGGCAATCCCATAGCAACTTCCTACAGAATCTAAACCTCATTTCAAATTTACAGTCCCTAACACACATGGAGTAATCAGTAAGCAAGGTAAGCATGGGCTTACTTGTGCTGTGGTGAAGAGCAATTTAGATGAGCCTACAGAAAACTACTGATTAATGAGAGTGAATGTTGCAATTTTTCCCTGTGGTCTTGGGCAAAACAGTGCCTTCCAGTGTAAATAAACTGGAGGTGTGTTACCACACCACATAGTCAGTACAGACATGTGCATCAGGGCCATGCTGTCCATTTTTAGAGGCAGTGAAGAGGTACACTGAGAGACCTACCCTATTTCCATCTGCCCTGGAACTTTGCATTGCCCCTCAGCAGCTCAGACACTCGCTGCATCCATCCTTGAGGCTGTCAGAGGGCTTATGCCAAAACTCTATCTCCCTTTATGCTGCTGCAGATGAACTGACACCAAAGGAAGTCGAGAACGAGAGAGACGAAGTGGCAGTGGACTGCACACAGCTGACATTCTTCCCTGCCTTACATGAAAGTCTGCACTCGGAAGACTTCTTAGAACTGTGTAGGGAGAGACAAGTTGTTTTGCAGGAGCTTCTTGATCAAGAAAAGGTAATACATACCACTAAAATTATCCTTTAAATATCATCAGACATGAGAGAACTAAGCTTACTTTACCTACATGAGAGGTGATACCTCCATTCCCTATAAAAACTACCCACTAAGTCATCAATGTGCAAGAGGAGAAGGCATGCCCTTAAAGTTGTGGGTCCTGGGGAAAGGGTGCAAATGGAAGCCTTGAGTCAAAATACCTGAAAAGTTATAACTCAAGCTAACAAGCTTCAATAAATATGCTCTAACTTCCTACTTTGACCTTCACAACAAGCTGGGAGGCCTATTTCAAATTTAGAATCCTTGACCTTCTTGTAGTTTGGCATCTTGACCTACCACTCGTAGCCTGACTGCTGTGAGGAATATGTCCCACACCTGGAGTGGTCTTGGATGCATGCATTTGAACACACTAACTAATGCTGTCCCCATATCCCTCAACCTCCAACCAGAATTTTCTTGTCTGTGACTTAGGCCTAGGGATAAGTATATTGTGATGCCATCAGCCCACAAAAAGGATGGGTCTAGAGGTGAAATCTGCATAAGTTCAGCAGAGTCAGGGACAATTTAGCAGGAGATCCAAGGTCCCAGATAACTGGAGCTGGGGTAAGGGATCCCAAGCTCAAGATGTGCTTGTCTCTTGGTGTGGCTGGACAAGGGCTGGTGGTAACTCTATAGACTATGGGGCACAGAAGGGGTCCGTCTTACCCAAGCATAAGAATTATATGGAGGATGAAGCACATAAAACAGATCTGAGTTCAAGTCACAACTTGGCCATACACTAAATGCTATATACTAACACTTTATAGTATAAAACCCACCAGCCACTCCTCGGAAGGAAGATGGGGCAATCTACTTCCGTAGTGATACTGCCTTGGAAACCCAAGGAGGGGTCGCTATGAGTCGGG